GGGGATGTATTATCGTTAGTGAGATAGATATGGCGTGATTACAGCACGCGAAGTCTTACAAATCAGAGTCTATTTGAAACTTCGCTGTGTCTGGAAACTGAGAAATCGTTCGGCCGAGTTGCGTGAAGTTTCGTCATTGTTCGTCACGACAAACGGCGGGCGCGCAGGGAGCGTTTAGGTGCGCACGTAGAAACTGCGAGAACTCGGCGGCAACGCGGAGAATACACCAAATATCGTAATGTTTAAAGTAATATATCGCGCACCTAACGAGTACGTCGTCACTTGGCCTGACTGTAGCGTCCCCGTGTCGACCGTCGGCCGGGGGCCGAGGTCGTCAGCAAATTCTCCTCGAACGTGTCCACGGTGAAGTCTTGCTCCTTGTGCATCTTAGGTATGATTCTGCTACTGGCCGGGCCGTTTCGCCTCAGGCGCAACCCGACCTCGCGCTCCATGATACCGTTTCTGATCTGCTGCTTCTTCTTCTGCGCCTGCAGCTGCTTGCTCACGGTCGTCCTCGACAACGGTGGCGGCGGCGGAGGTGGCGGGGGCGGTGGCATTTTCGGGGGTGGTTGTCGAGCCGCGGGACCGGCTGGCGGTAACCTCGGCGGACCCGCCATCCTCGGCGGTCCTGGCATACGCATCGGGAAACCAGGAAGCAGAAATCCCGGCCCGGGCGGTGTCGGCATCGCCGGACGCATCGGCATCCCGTACCTGGATAATCCGACACACACGTGGCTCGTCGTCATACGTCCCGCTCAATCGCGTCCGTCTCGAAGTGAAATCGGATCGGAATTTCGATTTTCGGCAATCGCCGTCTAATATTCCTGACGGTTTCGCAAAAAGCTGATAAACTCCGTGTCGAATTCACGTCGATAATTACCGCGTTTGTTGTTACATAAATTTACCATTATTACTTCTAGAGAACAAACAGCAAAACTGACATAGGTGTGGTAAACCGACATACTCATGTTTTTCTCGATTATAAACTAGACTCTACTGAACATTATAAAAACTTCTTCTACTATATACAATAGTTGGAGCTGAAATGGCAGTTTCTCTTTGCAAAAGCGGTTGCGTTACTAGCATAAAATAATAGTTACCTGCAAGGAAATATGTAATAACTTTCATAAGACTACCATATACTTTGGCAAAGATGAGCTTCTTGTTTGCACATAGATTTTAATTTTACACCTTCAGCAAGGGTATTAGAGCCCAAAAATAAAATGGTATGTCCGTTTCAGTGCTCTTCCTCTAATATTGTTCTTACCTAAGCGGTCTGGGTCCGTAGAGTGGTGGGCCCATAGGCGGCGGTAAGGGGGGCAAGCCAGGCGGAGGCATAGGCCGGAATCCTGGCGGTGGACCCACGAAACCGAATCTCTGAGGCAGCGGATACGGTGCGCCGTTTGCGGAACCCCGACGCGGTATCGCGAAACCCGGCGGTCCCATCGGCGACTTCAATATCGGGCGTGTCCTTAATGTATTCTTCTTCATTGGGCTCGGAATCTCGGTAATGTTCGTCAACTGCAAGACGACCTTACTCGTGTCGATCTTCTCGCCGCGTTTGACCTCCTTTAGCGCGGCGAGGTAAACCTGGCGCTCGACTGGATAACCGCGCGCCTCCCCGAAAGCTGAACACAAATAGCGGAAGATCTGATTTGGACGACAGCCGTTCGCCGATAAAAATGGTAATAGTAATAGGGACTCACTGGCTGTCACTGTCAACTAACCTATTTTAATGTTCGTTGTATCTTTCATTAATACCTTCGAGTGTAGTATGTAATACGCATGATAAAGAAGACGATTATAAAGGAATGAGTTGCTGAATGAGACGTAGAAACTCAATGCATATAAAGCGCAGTGCGAAGATTCGATTTTACGGTTACATTTACGCGTCCTGCGTGACAAAGAGGGAAGGATCTGCGCGCGATCACAGCCTGCTACGTTCTATTTCTCCGACAAACGTCCGTGAAAAATGAAATATCCGCTTATAATCCGCGCAATCACAGTTTCCAACTTTACCGATGATAATTGTTAATATTTAACGATTATTATTATGTGTACAGTCGAGAGATTGTGTATAAATTCGGGAAAGTTATATATAAAATTGCCTTGTTAATAATAGATCTAACAAGATCGAGAGGACTGCCGAAGTGATATCGTAAAATGGAATTTTTCGCAAGGACCTACCTTTCAGGGAATCTTGAGGCTCCCAATCCAGTTGCTGAATGAGATACCTGTAACAAAGTTATACCGTCCTACCGTATCCTTCGTATTTCCCAGGTAGCGTTCCTCCACTACATCTATTTCGCGTTGTCTCCGTAATATTTTATAAAAAAAAGATGAAATCCTACCGATGGAGGCGATGTAGAAAATACACTTGACAAAAGGTTTTAATCCCCGAAACCGATTGGATCGCCCGAGGCAAGTATAAACCGGTTAGTGAAATGATCGGAAGAAATGGTCGAAAGAGAGATATAACGACGACTGTGTTTATCTCGCTGCATGATTATCTTCGCACTACCACCACAACAAAGTATCTGAGAGAATTGACCGGCAAACATTTTCGAAGCGGTCTGATATAGACCCGCTGATAAACTGACCTGCAAATCAAATACCCAGTACGGTTAACACCATGTGTGCAATGGACGCCGATAAGTTCATCTGCAACAGAAAATTGGCGCATCCTTTGGTACGACGTTCGTTCGAGCGTGTCATATTAAAATCTACGCGTAGCGCAAGTTTCAACGAATTCTTAAAAGAACTCATTTTACATTACTACCTTAATTATCGTAAAATAAGGAGGCCCGGTGACTCTGTAAATTCGGTATCCGCGCGCGCGCTCGGCGGAGAGTTTCCGCGTGTACGTGCATGCTTGGCTCCTTTAAGGGGCTTTCGTAAGTAATGGAGTAACGTAACCGATAAAGTAATTATGCGGCGACGCGGATGAGAGAATCCAGTCGGCGGGACGCGCGAGCGCGATCGGTATCTCGGGAACATTTTCGAGACATCAACGGCGCCGTGGAGGACCGCAGACGAAGGAGGGATACTCGCTTGCGAGAGAGGTGCCCAATAAGGGCAGGCGCTACGTGCGGTGCAAGACGTACGATTCCACGGGTCATCAATTCGGCCCGGGGCGTGGGGGTCGGCACCTCTTCGGGCCCAGCAAGGGGCTGATTATAATATTACCGCAAATTACCGGCAAAAGCTGCGACGAATCCGCGACGATTCTCGTGACTACGTGGCTACGGTCGCGGCGGCATTTTCGTAAGGGGCCAACCCTTAATGAGAGTAGTTGACCAGTATAATGATCGAAGCGCGTCTACCGCCGCCTCTCTCTTTCTTCTTCTTCTCCTTCTCGCTCGCTGCTGCTGCTGCTCCTTCTTCTTCTGCATCCTCCTCCTCGGTCCCCCACGACCGACCTTCCCCCTTCCTCGCGAACGAGTCTTCTCTCGTTTTCAGCGAAGCGCGAACGAGCGGAGGATAAGTACCGAGTACTTTAGAGGCACTTCGTACCTCCTTACCTCGGCTTTCAGTGTGAATTAAGTGGCCCATCGCGGGTCATGCGATACGCCGTTTGACCTCTGCGAGCCGCTTAATCGCGCGGGGAGTATATCAGTATCTTGGATACGAGATACCGCGCGCGAGTTATTATTCCCTTCTTCTCTTCTCCATCCACCGGCGGGGGTAGACAAGCACGATATACATATACACCGTACGACTTGGCGAAGGACAATAATGCAAATATACGAGAGGCTCGAAATGCATGGCCGGCGGCTGCGCGATAAGATTTTCCGCGGGAAATCCGTGACAAACGGCCTAATAAAATAAAACTGTTGACCGCGGAGATATCTCGCGGATCTAACATAGTATCCTCTGGAAAAGTATTAAGATAAAGGTATGCGAATGAGCGACGCGTTACCGGTCTCGAGCGTAAAAGTTATTTCTTCGCTTCCCTCTCCCCTCCCCCTCTTGGGTTATCATGTATGGAAGAATAACGACGTGAAAAAAGACTGACTGCGAATCCCCGAGGCGCGTATAAACCGAGTAGCTCGTGAAATTTCGATATCGAGACGCACATACACGATACGCACAACACATTGCTGTGGATTTATTTTGCCGGTAAGATTTCAATCATTCTCGCAAACCGACGGGAGCTGAATTTTACGGCACATTAGCGCGGCATCGCTGCGTCGCAAACAGCTTGCGGGAAAATTCATATAATTCTAATGACGAACGGAAACTTTTTTCCTCACGATATTCGCACGCGATCGTCGGATTAACACGTTCATTGCCAATCACGCGATATCGCGTGATGCGAGTTTTCATCAAACGGCCGATCACGCGTTATCGCGTAATAGATATTTAGAGTACATAATAATAAAAGCATATAAATAATATATTAACTTATTTCGAGCACAATAAAAACTAAATTAAAAAATTAAAAAAATACGAAATTACAATTTTCAGCTTGGCAATGAACGTGTTAAGTCGATGCATCAATAAACGCTGACCGAATTACGACCGATCGGCGACGGATAACACAGTCACGGGTAATAATAGTTGCACGAAATAGGCCGGAGATACGCGCCATTGTAGTTGTAATTCGACATTTTAGCATGTGCACGTACGAGAGACGATACGTGCGAGACGTGGTGAGCTTGTTCCACGTCGGATATGTATCACGAGGTCATCTCGGCTTCTGCATACGCCGGAGACTTACGTCTCGCAGCGGATGGAGGATCTTCCCAGAACACGTCGGCATCTAATGTGAATCTGGCACCCCCGTGGAGCGCGTTTACGTTAACATGTAAACCGATCTCCCGGGAGATTGTCGGCTTACGATTTCTTCGATGCACATTGATACCTGTATACAGTCGGCGGCAGAAAATCGCAATATTTTACTTAGAGCCTCACGGAACGCGTCCGTTGTACGCAGGGAGAAATATTCCTCAGATAGGACAATCGTGTTTTAGTCATTTTCCCATTGGATACGGACGCATTGCGAAACTCGTTCGAAAAATACACGTTGAAACCTTTCTACCATTAACTATATTTTTTAACTTTGAAACATCATCCTCTTCCAACATTTTCACGAGTCGCGTAAATTTTCGTAAAAAATTACGTGTTTCAGAATCGTGCATTAAATCCCTGTCGGACAATGGCACGTAATTTTGATTCAATCGAATTTTGATTCAATTAAACGACGAGAGAAAGGCGAAGGAGCCTCCCGTGTGGAATTTCAGTTATCGAAGATCTTTCGAGCAAAAGACATTCGAAGACGCGAAATTCACGAATTGGCACTTGAGACATGTGTATGTACGGTATTACGGTATTGGTGTGGAATTACAACGACCAGAAAGATATTACGAAGATCTCTCCGGACACCCGCTGCTCGGCAAGCGAAATCAAACATTGCTCAACGGGAGCCAAAGTATGACGGTGATAATAATACTGGTCGGTCGAAAATCGGCCTTGTATAATCAGCAATATCATCAATTACGAATGAGCCCACGATCAATTCGAAATATCGGTGTTGTAATCGTTCGTAAAAGTACAGTCACTTCAAATTTACATTATAAGCCAATATAAAAAGAGATACGATAATTTTTTTTTGATTCGGTAAAAGAGGCGAGACAAAAAGGGCACGAGACACTCGAGTGATTTTTACGTTTGTCAAATTTAAAAACAAACCGATAGTTAGAAATTAATCATCAAGAAAGTGTATAGACGAACCACGCGCCACGATGGATCTCGTTCGACATATTGAAAAGAATCGCATCTTCATTCGAAATTTCGTTTCGAAGATATCGTTAGCCCACCTTTCAGAAGAATATAATCTATTTCGTGAACTAGTGCAGATTGAACTCGCTGGAAACGTGCGAGAATACCTTCGAAGAAAGGAAGCTCAAAAATAATCACCGTACGTCACAATCCCCAGCAAGGTCCCCCTTTATCACACATAAACCCGTGCACGTGCTTCGGGCTGCGTTCACGACTCGACCGACTCGAGATTCGCGGTAGCGCGCGCACATAGACGTCTCACCGAACATTTTTCCTCCTTACGTTATTTCTGCGAGTACAGAAGTAGAGCACCTCGACGTAACGAGTTTTCTATTCGTAATGAGCTTCAGCTCGTGACGTTTCAAACAGAGACGGGAAGACGGGCTCTGGCCGAGATGGAGAGAGCGTCGCTCGTGCGTGCTGATGGACGGAGGGTGGGCGGTCGCATGCAAATATTGTTTTCGTCCGTGCCCCCGAGATATCGCCGACGAGGGAATAAAAGAGGCAGGAGGTAGCACCTGGAATTGTTCACGTGCCACTCCCCACGTGCGACGTGAAGGTTGGTTTTCGGAGCTACCGGAGTAGTCGGCAAGTACGACCCGAAGCGACGTGGTGAATGTGGCAATATGATATATACGCGAGAGGTACGTCGGCTCAAATAGCCCCTGGTGGAGATCCCGGTCGCCTCGCGCCCACAAGAGAGCCCGGGCTCCTCTCTAGTAGCGCGAGAGATCGCGGAGGAGCCCGTCGGAGATATATGTAAGAGCTGCTGAACCGGGGGAAGAACGTTAACGTCCGACTGTGCGCGTACATAAACACGAAAATATCGCCGGCGCGTTACCGCGGAGAACGCGCGAGAAAAGCTTTTCGGGCCGGCGATTACTGCCGTCTTAAATCAATCGAACGGTCCAAGTTCGGGCGCGACGCGCGTCTCGCGGGTCGTGCGAACGGGGTGTTTCGTGAGAAGAGGAGGAAGCGGAGGAACGACTTCTCGCGCATCGAAAGCGAATATCAATCTGCGAGCTTGCGCGAAAAAATACGAGCGGCTCGCCGGACGCTTTCGAGATGTCACGACTGCTTAGGGAAAAGGGAATTACCTAGAAAGACTTATTAGAAAGTTTCTAGCTGTGGAAGCTAATTCTTATAACTATAGCCGTACACAGCTATGATTATTGTTGTACACGTAAAAAGAGAATCAACTCCCACGGTTAAACTAGACCGAACAACCCGTATATCCAAAAGATGTCCTTCAAATGTAAAAGACGCCTTTACGATATCTCGATGTTATCTGGTCTGGTAACTGAATTTCAGTTGTATTATATAGACAGCTAGTTTTTAGCTTAGTGGGAGCTAATTCTTTTTTCCGCGTGGAACCGTCGGTCTCGAGAATAATTAAATAGCCGTCCGGGCGGTTTTTCTTCTACTGGAGAATGTAACGAATTGCATTAGATTCGGGAAATTGAAAGAGAAGAAACTGGGGCACACGTACGAATGGAGTTACGTCGTGTCGGATTCCAAGATTCAAGAAGAAGGAAGGTCGAGATGAATGAACGCGAACATTTCGGTTGTAAGATCATACGGCGTCTTGGCGTGTTGGACACCGGATGAAACGGTATTGATAAATGTTAAGTGGTGGCTCGACGGATGGACGACGATGCGGCTTCTTTTGCCTTGGAATGCGCCTCGACTCGCTCCGCTTTCGGATCCGCTCTTGCCTCCCGCTAGTTCGGGTCCGTTGATTCGTGAGTCTCTCCGTGGGTCTCCCAACGTACAAATTCGAGAGTCGCAAGCCGCAATAACGTAAACGGAACGCGCAATTTCGACGGACGGGTCCGCCGCCGCAGTTACATTTCGCATTTTGCAAAGTTCCACGAAACCTTTAAGATCCCGAGAGATACCGAGGAAAGTTTAAAACGGCCCGGATCTCGCTGGCATGTTTAAAGCAGTTCTGTCTGCTGAATAAATTCCGACATTTCGAATATTATTTGGGAATTCGCTATCATTCGAGAGAGTGTGTCGAACCCTGGGGGCCGGTAAATCCTAGGCTTGCGGGACGTAAGGTATTTCGAAATAAACCGGCGACCGAAGCTCGATTCTTAAATTGTAGGCGTCTCGATCCCCGATGCATCCTAACAGATATGACCGGTCGTTTGGCATGAAAAAAAAAATAGAGAGAGAAAAAGAGAGAGAGAGAGAGAGAGAGAGAAACAAGGACGCGAGGTTATACGCGTGGAAGAGAAGAAAAGAAAGAACGCGACGACGCGGATGAAGGGAGAGAAGCGAGAAGATAGAGGGAGAAGGAGAAACGCTCAAGGGAACTTTCCTCTCTACTGCTTGATAAACGGCGGTAGATAATTAACAACGCCCCGGTGTGCATGTGTGTACTTCGTGCGTGGGCGATCCTTCGCTCCTCGAATTCTGGTCGGATTCGTTTTCGATCGTCGCTGTCGTTCCCATCCGAAGTACAGAAGCCGGACAGCGACGGACAACCGAATAAAATGACCACCGGCTATTCTACATTCGTTCCCGCAATGTACCAACACGACCAAGCCGTGATCGAGGGAGTAAATTAGGGAGGGATGAGCTCGTACAGTCGCAATCAATAGTCTTGTACAAACGTGGTTTCCTACGGACGACGTTCCTCGACGGAAGTCGAATTTGGCGTTGTTTCGTGTTATTTTCTGTGCACGATTTACACACAGAAGGAAAGTGCTAGATTAAAATACACGTTAACTCCGACACTTCTCAGCAAATTTTTATTTGAATTAAGTAAATTTCACTTGGGTCAAGTAAATATTTTACTTGGATAATATACTCGGAAAATAGATTTACTTGGATCAAGAAATGCTTGATCCAAGTAAAAATTTGTTAAGAAGTATTACTATTTACTTGAAAGCAGCACTTTTTCTCCTCTGTACGTATGTCGACGCGGAGTTTCTTAAAAACTATCTCCTAACGTCAAACCTGACGTGTTTTAGTTGGCGCCGATCAGACATGAGTCTTACAAATTGTCAATGCGAGGCGTTGCGCACTCGTCCAAGGCGAGTTGGTAAATGCATTGAAGTTACTTCGACTTGGAAAGTTCAGGAAATCTGTTATCACGATTCAGGCATAATGTACACCGAATACAATATGACATAATGGAAACTCACCTTTATCGCATGTTGACATGAAATCATCCATCACTTTAAAGAATCTGCAAGGAAAGAGAGCAAAAATATTTATAATTTTGACAAAGTAACAGTGTCTATATTTTGATTCGCAATCCTATTTTTTTTTGGTTTTCAAGAGAGAGAAAGACACTTGTCACTGTACGAGAGAACAATACGTTACTCTCATCGACGATCAATCCGTACTTGTGAAATTTCACATGACCGGAGCCAGCTAAATCAATTCTGCTAAACGTGTGTTCAACGGTAGCGCGTTTGTTGTTGTTGTTTCAATAACAGCCAGTTCGTAAAGTAACTTATTACCGTGCATTAACATTCCTCCTCGCTGCCTAATTATTTACACGGGAGTGTAATTATTCATCTCGGCTAAATGATATAATTAACATCTCAAACGTACGCGCGACGTAACATTATAAGCATGCGTAATAACAGCGCCGCCTTTGAGGAGAAGCGCGCGCGCTCGCTTGCCTTTATTTGTTCGTCCGTAATTTCGCGGGGCAGCCAGCGCGACGGCGATCGAATTTCCATGGAGTCGATGAAAAAAGTAATCGGCTAAATAAATATTCAGGTAACCGGTAACCGGTCGAGCAAACCGCCGGTGTAATAGCTATGTAATAGGTATGCAGGAGCGCCGGCAAACGAAGGAGTATGGTAATGAGACTTAAGAGTCCGGGACGTTGCGCGTCCTGAGTTACGGGCGAGTACGGGCGAGCACGAGGAGTCCTTTACGCGTCACGAGGGGCGCTAAGAAGTTAAATCGATTCCGAATTATGTCATGAAAACACGTCCGCAACACGCGCCCCCGTGTACCCGCCGCGCCGGATTAATAATAGCCGCGGCCGCGGTGATTTTTCAGCGGGGTAACACATTTCCCCTTTTGTCTGCTATAAACTTTACCGTGAACTTAGCGGCGGCTTCCTCGTGATCTATAGGACAAAAGGAGACGGCAGAGAAACGGAGCGCGCGGGAAAGAGCGAGATCCCCGAAAGTTCGCAAGATTCGGAGATCGCGTGGCGCGCTTATAATAATTTACGGGGGTGCGGCCATGCATCAGATCGAGTCTCTCTTCCTTCACTACCGATTGCGGGGGGGGGNGACTTATTAACGGATTAAGCCTGTACTCTTCCTCGTCTGCTCAGTAAATTATGGCGCGTGGTGTTCATTCCCCCTTTCTGTTCCTACGAAATTCGGGGAACACTCCGACTGTGCCGTGCAAGGTGGAACATCGGCGTCGCGTCGCTCTCACGCGATAATTCATGCCGACGCGGTATCGATTCGTCGAATTAACAGCAGCCTAATGTTTTACGCCGACATTAAAGCGCACACGGCCGCTGTATATTGAGATGATGCAAAAGTTCGCCCCGTTCTTTAATAATAAAATATATGTAACGTTGATTTATTTCAAGATACGATCAATCAATTTTAAGTACTCACCGATTTGTTCGATGACTTGCCTTCTGGTACGCAAGAGAAAAATGATTCCTCTGGATTCGTACGTGTTTATTTAACTTGGGTTCGTTTAATATAAACGACGTAATTTAATGTCGAATAATTAATATCATCTTGTTTGAATGAAAATGTTTCGCCCGAATAAACCATGTTGTTTAGTAGAGAACAGAACATTATTATTTAGTGGAAAGAATATTTCGTCTCCAATAAAGAAATTTACTTCACTATACATTAAATATTGTTCCACTAAAATAAAAAAGTTCCCTAATATAACTTTCTAACATAAATAATTTATTGACCGTGACAACCATTGTAACGTTCGAATGAAAATATGAAAGAAATATATTATTTGACGTGAAGATATTTATTGCCTGAGAGATCAAACAATCTTATTTGTCGAATTAAACATTTGCTTGCTCTGTTCCAAGAAGCAAATTTGATCCAATTAAAGGAATTTTATTAAATCCAAAGAAATCCTTTTTCTCCATGTAGCTGCATGATCACGTGCTCGTAGAAATGCCGGGATTTCTAAACAAAGAACTGATTGAAAAGCGGAACAAGCTTTTGCACCAACCCGATAATTATCGAATCGCTGGGAAGCGTTCCTCTTTTCTTTCCACAATTCATCGACAACTGTGGTTCACGCGCGCGGTTCCGAAAACAAATTTCGGGAGAATGCGTCAACGTTTGGCTCCGAAGGAAATGACAAGCGTGAAATCGTTTCGATTTCCCCTTCACGAGAGGCCGGCCGCGATATAGACTTGATTCCCCGGAAAGTTACTGCGCTCGTTATTGTACGGGGATTGGGTGGCCCAATTGTGGCGGTCTATTGGGGGGCTTAATAGGAGCGTTTTAGTGCCTTTGGTCCCTTTCAACTCCGAAGCGGACTCCCTACAGCACACCGATTAGTCTAACGCGATTATAAGCACTAACTCATTCACGACTCGCCGCGACTCGCTCCCGACCACCGTTCAATATCGATGTGTTATAAGGCGGGAGATATTTATAACCTGCGAAGCCCTCTCAGCCTCATAATGACTCTCGAAATAGGAGCGTCTCGTTTCGGAAGGGGGTGTGCTAACGTGCCCCGGCAAGATCGAGCCGTAAACATCCGCGCACGCCGCCGTCAGCGAGTCGTCCGCATGTAAAGGGGATGCGTTCTCTCGCGGGTCGCAACAACGATCGTATCGCGATCGACGCACGTGTAATACGGCAGATTTGCCTGATGTACGCCGCGTTACAGCACCGTCTGCCGAGGTCAGCGCGTCGGAGGTGAATAAAATGAAAATTTCCTCGGTAGCGGGGTAACGATGCTCGACGTCGACGTCGCTGTCATTCGCCCTTCCGCCGCCATGCATTTATAATATTTGAAATATTCGTGGCGCGTCTTTCTCGTTTCGAGAGCGTGACAGCACAATCACGGAGAAATGCATCTATCACGAGGGGGGAGGGGGAGAAAGAGTGGGCACGGCCTTCTCCGGAATGAAATATCGAAAGATAGCTGCCGGGGCTCCGCGTGCCGCGGCGCGGCGCCGCGCCGCCGAAGCGTGAAAAATGACGAGAGTTAAATTAATTTGACTTACGGATTTGAATTACAGATTCGAGGCGGAGGTGTCGTTGTACACGGCGCGTTTCGCACCCCGCCCAGTAGGAAGGAATTCCTCTCAGAGAACCCGATATATCGAGAACCAGCTTCGTCATCATCGCCATGGTCATAATCATCCTAACCATCATCATCGTCGATGTAATCAACGCGATGATCAGATTTTCGAGCGGCGTCCTCGTAGGAAAATCAAAATCAAAAGCTCTGACCCGGCCACGTACGGGGGAATGGAACGGCCATCAATATTTATAAAACCAGTCATCCATCAATGGCGAACTTCTTCCAGGAATATTTTACCCGCGTTGCCCGCCGCGATTGCATAGATTTCACCGCGCGCTTACTTTTTTACTCGATAACGAGGACTATCATTTATCTCGTATCGATGCACGGAAGGTCGCAAGTCGGTCCGAAATCCGAATTCCAATTCGGCGAGCCCGCTCCGTCGCGTCCGTTTTTGATCCGTCATACTTCGCGAATTTCGGCGACGGGAGAAATCGATCCGGACATCGTTTCTTCCGCGCAATTCACATAGGAGAATCTGGAGGCACTTTTGATTCCCCTCTTTTGATTTCGTCGAATGTCTCCAAAAATTAAAGGAAAATTAAATATTCTTATGCTAATATCATAGATATTTTAATAGCATATCTAACCCCATATTGACCAAATTAAAAAGTCATAACAATTCTTAGAGTAACTTATATTTTAGGAAAACAACCGAAATCAAGTGTCCTCTATTCTGGGAGACTTGATCCAAGGATGAAGGAAATTCGATTCGGAGAGATCGTGTCATCCTTATATTTTAATTAATGCAATAAAAGATATTGAATAACCATAACCAATTTCTATCAAAGGCTTTTGTAAAATTGAACAAGTTATAAAATATAATTAAAAAAATAAAATAATAAGTTACGTTTGTTTTAGCTTGCGATTATCGCGCGAAGTAACTGCGACACTTCGGCCCTCATTGGCGGACGAGCTGTTAACCATTTAATTCAGCCGTATTAGCGAGTTCACAACTACCATTACATAAATTTACTTCCTTCCTACACGTCGGCTGTGATACTTCGGCGTGATTTTAAATTCAAATCACGCTGCACGCAGGCGGCGTGGAACAGTTATTATACGTCGCGGAACGTCGTGCGATGTGCGCGGCACGAAGCGAGAGGTGTTAATGGAACACGCTTTTTACAATCCTCTCGAGTCTAGGCGGCGACTCCGTCGCTAATTGAGGGCCTGAAATCGAGATAACGCCGCCAATAATTCCGTGGTTTTGCGCAAACCGTGAAAATCACACCGTGACGAACGCCCTCGGCGGACCCCAGCCGGAATAAGGACGAATAAGGAGACGCGCCCGTGAAACCGCGAAACGACAACGTTTATGGCAGCGCGATTGTCGGCCGTAAGTGGTGTTCATTTGAATATCGCACGGTGTGTGGTCCTTCGCACGCGCCCACCGTACTACGTGTCCGCTCGCGTCCGTTGCGTGCGCGCGTGCGTGCATGTGAGACTTCACTGTGAGATCACGATCGTGTTCCGAGCGGTGAAGACGGGCCGATTGCGTAACGGCGCCTTATCTAAAAACTCGATCACCGTCCCGGAGAACAGCGCTATTACTTAAACTTAATGGTTATCAAGTTACGAATTGACATTCGACGAGACGATGACAAATAAATACACTGCGACGTTTAGATTTCCCGAGACACGCGAACGCGCATTCATTATCGGATACACACCTCGAAGCCCCATCGAGCGATCGATTTTTCATCCCGGCGGATTTTGACCGGCTGAAAACGGACACCGAAAAAAAAGTGCTGCCGTTTAAGTGATATTTACCTGATCCGAATTAAGTGACGAAGCAGAAAACGTTGTTGTTACCTGCACTTACTGATAAAACTATAAACGATAAACTGATAAAAATTTTACTTTTAAAATTGACTTGATTTAAAATTAACTTAGACTGAAAAACAGATTATT